TTATCTGTGAACTCATCCAGCCTATCTGGAGGCCTGGGAAAGATACTCATGGAGCATATTCTGTCAGCTACCTATGCCTTCCTCAACATTCCTTTGAGGCTTCTTCAAGTATCTTAAGTCAGCAAGTTGTTACCATATGGCAAACAAACATGGTTCTCCAGCATTTGGCTGTACATCAGAGCCATCTCAGAAGTTTTTTATTTAAAAAAAAAAATGATGCCTGGGTCTTAGTCTATCCTAATTGAAACTGAATGTAAGGAGTGGAACCCAGGAATTTAGCTTTAAAATGCACCAGGCCATTCCAATGCACAGAAAAGATTGAAAATCACTTAGAGTACTACGTGAACTACTTAGATCACTTTGGCTATTTATGCTTCTAATTCCCCTTAGTTTTTTCAGTGTTGACCATTATGGTTAAATGGAGATGCTGAAAACATGGATTCTATTCCAGTTGTCATTCACAGATCCATGACCTTCAGTCATTTTAGTTATCTCAGGAATTGCTTTCCCCATCCATATAATAAGTTAGGTAGATAAGCCAGGAACTGGCAGCTACCGAACTACATGTAGTCTGCAGGGAAGTTCATTTAGTCCCTCCCTCCAGGGGTCATCTTTAAAAATGCATCTAAAAAACTGAATTAGTTTGCCAACATTAAAATAAGGGGGACTTTTCCCAAAAAAACCTAAAACTAAGTAAGACATCTTGAACAACTGCTAAGGGATCCTGTGACCAGCATCCCCAAATTCCTGCAATAAGTAATCAGTGATGACTCCCTACATCTCTTGTCCCTGCTCTCATTGGTTTATGTTATGTGCCTGGCTCCTGAGAGCAACTGGGTGGCAGCCAGGCTCCAAGACAGTCCTCAACAATTCTCACACTCTCACGTAGTTCCCTCCAACAGTGAAACTGGTGTAAACCCAGTAGGATACTATGAAATGATCGTGTGTGGCTCTGTCATAATAAAAATTGCAGCTTCTCCCTGCTCTTTCTTGGGTCATTCGATCTCTGGGAGCTAGCACCAGGTAAGGAGGAAACTCAGCCCAATAGAAGGGGTCATGTGGCAGGGAACTGAGGCCTCCTGCCAACAGCCAGGTGAGTCAGCCATCTTGAAGGCTGATCTCCCAGATGATGGCTGCCCCCAGACTGCAACCTCATGAGACACTGAGCTGGAACCGTCCAGCTGAGTTACTAAGGACTTCCTAGTCCTGAAAAACTGTATTATGAATAATAGTGAAGCCCTAGGTCTAATCACCTGTACTGCAAAAACAAACAAACAAAACCCTCTATAAATCTGTATATTGCTTTTTTTTTAGGTCCAAGTTTGGGAGCAACTTGCTCTCTATGAGTAGCAAACCAGCAAAGCACTATTTCTTTGGCCTCTTTAGTGTTAAAATAGGGCAATGCCTTTATTTCAGAATTAGAGCTGCAGAATTTTAGGAAGTTCAAAGGGACCACAGTCAAGTTTGCATTGGATAGAGAATTTTGTATTTCTGGTTGGAAATTTTTAAGCCCTTTTCAATTTCTGTCCAAATTCTATGGATTCTCTCTCTCTCTTCTTCTCTTCCCCATACACAGGGTCTTGGTATGTAGCCCAGGCTGGCCTTAAACTCAAGATCCTCCTGCCTCAGCCTCTATAGTGCTGGGATTATAGGCATGCACCATGATGCCTGGCTGTGCAAGTTTTCCTTGCTCCCTAATTGGGAACTATGTCCTTGAATATACTCTTTTTAAGTACTGGTTGAAAAACTGGTGGCATAAATGTACCACTCAAAAATGAGGTAATTAGAGAGGGGAGAAAGGTGGAGCCAGTTTTGAGCAAAGGAAAGGTAAAAAATTCAAGTTTTATTCCAGCTGCAGTAGAATGGTAGCTGAGATGCCCAGAGAACAGGATGTTTAGGAGTCTTGTTTAGCAAGGCTGAGATGTCAGCAGAAACACAAGGTACAGCCCTGACAGTGAGAACTCACATATGGAACAGCACAGAAGAGTTCTTGGGCTAAAACCTAAGGTCATTTTTTATTCAGTCTCATCTTCACCAAAGTCTACTAGAACCTTTAGAAATTTCCCATGGATTCCCATGGTCATTACTATCGTCGAGACTAATTAATGTTCGTTCTAATTAAGAGGATCAAATGATGGGATACATCAGCAACAGTATGAAAACAGCAATCATACAGAGAATTTAGCATTTAATGAAGTTAAAATACTTTACGAAATTAACTTCATATACATAATGACATGGATTGTTTTTATGCCACATACTTTTAAAAAATAAAATACTCAGTTCTATAAGTTATTATAACTCTTTCTTTTAGAGAGCCAAACTCAGTTTTTACAACTTTTCTCTTCATAACACCAAGGAAGTTTACCCTCTAACAGATGCATTTTTTTTAAAACACATACATTATAATACTGTCATTTCTTTCTCTATTATAGGTTTTATGACTATTCCAGTTGTCAGTAAACTTTCTATCCTCTTGAGCTTCCATATCATTTTGTTTTATTGCAGTAAAATTCATATACAGTGAAACGTACAGAACTTAATACACTTTCCTAAATGTGCAAATTCATGATACGCAATTACAAATGTTGACATCATTTCAGAAAATTCACCCCAAGCCAACCACCATTTCCCATAGGCAACCCTTGTTCAGATTTTTATCACCAAAGATTAGACAGTGTATACTCTTACATCCCTGATTTCTTTCACTGAACATATTTTTGAAATTCACCTATCTTGTTGAATTTATCAGTGGTTAATTATACTTTTTTTTCGGGGGGTGGGGGGGTGGCACTAGGGATCAAACCAAGCATTTTAATACCGAGCTATACCCCCAATCCTTCATTGTTTTATTGCTGAATATTATTACAATGCCATGCAATTTACAAATATATTTTTATGGCCTTTTATTTTTCCACATGGGACTGCAGGGTCTAATAGTTCCTTGTACACCACAGGTGCTCCATAAATACTAGTTAAGCAAATACATATTTATGCTTACTTCCTGTCACAAACCAAATTATGCACACATATATTCATTATAAGGTACGTCGTGGATCTGAATTAAAAAGTAGGGCTTTTCTCTATAGTCTACCCATAAACTCCACTGGTCTCCTTCTCAGGAGATCCTTAACAAAACCTACCAGCTACCCCTTGCTCCATACTGGAAACAGTATTACTAGAAAGGGGCAATAATTGAATGCTAATGGTATGGCAGGCATGTTCTAAGCATTTCATATATAATAACATTTTTAATCCTCACAACTTATGATATAGGAGTTATTATCTCCATTTCTTAGAATAGAAAATTAGGAAGAAAGGAATAAACAACATGCCACCCAGTTAGAAAATGGTAGCACTTAACAACAGGATTTGTGCTCAGGAAGCACTAACCCCTCATATCCTGCATACAAGCAGCTGACATTCTCTACCATAAAAATGTTAGTTGAAGGTGACAGGCAATGTCACTGTACAGGTAATGTGTGTGTTGGATCTCACAAAATGATATCCCCAAATATGGTGCTTGACATGCTGAGAACTCTGAACTAAAGAAGCACATTCAATGTCTCTCTGCTCTCACTCCTCCTCTGGGTAGACCCTTTCTCACCCACAGCACAGAGGGTCTCTGACATTCCCCAATCTGACTATGTCAAGTTCCTCCTCAAGGAATGTAGTTTTCTTGGGCCCCCTCCCTATACTCTCATAAAAGGGAGAGACTAATTCTCAGGAAAGACTAGAGTTGACACCACACCCAGAGGAACTTTGTCCTGAGATAAAGGACAAACTGTTTCTATTTTTCAGGTCCATTCACCACCTCTAAAAATCATTTACTCTTCCTCTAAAATTGCCTACATCCTGGACTACTTCCCTCTCCTCATGAAGAGGGCATATAAGCTTTTAAACTTCTTTGGGTTATTGAGTACTCACCTTCTTGTTCTTCCCCCCTGCCTCGCACACAATAAATTGTGTAGCCTCTTCTCCTGTTAGACTATCTATTGTCAGTTTGAGCAGACTCAGTTACTAAACCTTCCAGGACAGAAAGGACTATCCCTTTGCCCTTGGGAATTAGGAAGATCCCAAAGATGCTGGCAAATAGGGTATAATGACATTCATCCCTAGAGATCTGGTGTTACTCAGCCTTGGAGAATGGGGAAACGAGCCCCGTTGATTTCTAAGTCCTCCTGTCTTTCCTAACCTTGGACACCCTCACTTGGAGAGCTGTCCTTCAGAAACTGTAGTTCATCCAGTCCAAACTCAACTCATTATAGCATAAGTGAATACTGAGTCAGCCATTACAGACACTGTTTCATTTCACAGTGCCTGAACAAACAAAAAGCTGTGCCCTCAGTTATGAAGTCGTAAGGAGGGTCCTTGAGACTCACAGAGAAAATGACTGGCATCATACAAATTCCTCTCGTGACCTTGGGCAAATTACCTAACCTCTCTTGAGTATCAACTTTCCTCAATTATAAAACGTGATTCTTCTCTTGCCAAAGGACCATTCCAAATCCATTTTAAGCAAAAGTTGCCACACTAATCCCCTAAATACCACTTTCTTCATGTTACTTCCTAATTGAAGAATCCAAATGGCTCCCTAGGACCTCTTACATCTTTAATATCCATTAAAAAGCCGCACTTACCCATTTTATTTAACTTAATTTTACTTCTGGGGATCTAAGCCAGGGCTTTTTATACCAGTTCCCTGCTCTATCTACTCCTATTTCCAACTATTTATTATATTTGTCGTCGGTTCAGGCTGGTCTCCCACTGTCTCCTTTTCACACGACACAATTCCCACCTTTTGAGTTTTTGCTCTTTTTAGCTCCTAGCACAGATTCTGCCAGAAATACTAAGTTCTCCCTCCTAGGGCTGAAACCAAGGACTTCAATGAATTCACGATTCTATCCATAGAAACCTTTCCAAATTTCCTTTGTCGTTTTCTTCAACCAACACATATGAACCAAATCTTTGCAAGGCTCGCTAACCATGCACTGTGGTACCTGTTCTCTAACAGATCCTCAAGACTCTTCGCCTTAGGAACCAAGAACCACGCATGCACTGTAAGACTCCGGTATCCGGCAGAGCATCTACCACAGCGCAGGCACAGACCAGCTGCTCCACACGACTTCGCGTTGTCGGCCTTAATCCACTGCTTGGGGCCGAGAGGGCCGGTTCTCCCAGCGCGGCGGACACCAAGGTGTGTGAAGTCACGCAGGTGACGCAGGGCCGGCCCACGCGCTGCCGGGACCTGGCCACGTCTTCCCGCACCCCCTCACCTCACCCCCCCCCAGCCCGGCTCCATCCGCCCCTCGACTTCTAAGGCCCCATCGGCGCCAGGGCCTCCTCGCTGGCCCTCTAGTCCCGCGCCCACCGCCACCCGGCCGTCCTGGGGCGGGGTCAGGCCGCGGGAGCGCAGCGGAAGGGGACAGATGCGGCTCAAGGGGTATTGCGCGAAGCCGAGCGCCACTCACCCGGCGCCAGACACCAGATCCGGGGCTACCCTGCGCGAGACAGCCAGCGACAGCGATGAGGACTGGGCTGTGTCCGAACAGTGGCGGCGCCGGCACTTCCTGCCTCGGGAGGCGGAGCGGAAGGTGCACCGGAAGGCGCGGCCGGTCCAACCGGGAAAGGGGGGACTGCTGCTGTCAGGGCCTAGAGAACGGGGTGTTGATCGAAGAGCGGGATTGCCCTGGCCGAACGAGCACAACTCGGGTTTCAGTCGTCTCTTCCTTCCCTGTGCCGATTTGCACACTCTCCCGTGCTCTGCGGTGACGTCCACCCACCCTGCCTAATTGCCCCCCGCCCCCGCTTCCCTCCCTCCTCCCGCCTTCCCGCGGCCCTTCCGCATTCCTTGGCCGGCGGGCGGGGCCGGCGCGGCGGGGACGGGGGGCGGCTCCGAGGGCACAGCGCTAGAATTTGATCGGGCTGGGCTCTGACCCGCCCTACTTTAGGGTCTCCTGGCGCCTGCAGCGGCCAGCCCAGGGTGGCCAGATTTAGCAAATAAAAGTACCTTTGATTTAAATTTGAATTTCAGATAAGCAGGTTTTTTAGAGAAGAGGGACTGTAACATGGGAAGGTAAGAGGGCGGCGGCCGACCACGTTCCCGCAGCTGTAGAAACCTTTGCATTTCTTTTTAAACTGCATTCCCGCAGAGTCTTTTAACCCCACTCCTCCTTTCCTACCTTGAAATTATGTAGTTTACCGCCTTATCGGACTACAGGCTGTGACCGTTCCATCCCCTTTCAACCACAAGAAAGTTTTATTCAAATTATTTGCTTCCCTTGGAATTATTAAAGAGATGACAGAATTATGCACACATGCACACACATACAATGCTCTTGATCAAAAAATGGAAAACGTTAAACTATCTCATTCAGGTTTTGTTCTAGGTATTTTTCAATGCTATGATTGTCAGGTTAGCTTTCCTCACTTCAGGATAATCTAGATGAATAGCACTATTTCTAACTAATGGGGGATAGTCTACCAAAGAGCCGCATTTCTTATTGCCCAACATGGTGCAGATGCTGGGGAGATGAAAAGTTCAAATTGTCTTCAGGGAGTCTATATTCCATAGAAATCTTTTATCAGAAATTCCTAGAACTTAGGAACTGTGTGTTCCCACTGTACAGCAGTTCAAAAAATAGTAACTTGAAGGGACCCTTAAAAAGAATTTTTGAGCCTCAAAGCCAGTGTTAGGATTCAGGAGGTCAGGGTGGAAAGTAATTTACATGCTCACACCTGGTCCTAAGTATTTGCTCTGTTTCTTAGGTGGTTTGGTTGATAGTTTAAATAATTGTCTCTTCAATAATCAGCTATTTTAGTTCCTTTTCTTTTTTCTTTTTTTTTTGCACAAAGCTCTTTCAGTATAGTCTATTAGCAATTCATAACCCCTCACCCTGGCCAATGCAAGATCACAGCTAGTCACCTTGATTGTACTTTGTTTTTTCGTGGTGCTGGAAATCAAACCCATGGCCTCAAGCATGTTCTACCACTGAGCTACTGTACTTTGATCTCTGTATATAATTTTCTAGAACTGTGAGGTCCAATAGCCACTAACCACATGTGGCTATTTAAACTTAATTTAAAATTAAGCTCTTCAATTATATTCAGTACATTTTTAACCACATGTGGCTAGGGTCATCACTGGACAGCACTGAGTGAACATTTCTGCCATCAGAGAAAGTTTTAATGGACAGCCCTTTTCTAAAGAAGTAATTCTAAGGTGCTTTGTTCTCTCTACAATCAAAACAAACACATTTATTAATGAGGCTATCTAAATACCTAGCACTTGGAAAATCATTATTTACAGCATATCTATGGCAAAGATAATCTTTCATCCACTAAAAACAATCACTGATAAAGTACTATACTTAAAAACAAAATTGGTAGTAATGCCAAAACATGAACAATGCTTTAATATTAAACTAAAAAAAAGTTGTAATTAGTACAACTGTGAAATGTATGTGAACATAGGCATGAACTCCTGCTATTTGAGCAGGTCTGAAGATATCTAGAATAAAATAGAAGTTGAAGGAGAAAGTGGAGATTGGATAAATAGCACTAGGAAAATTGGGCATTCCTTCAATGTGGGATAGGTCCAGCAACCCCTTTAAAGGACAGGAAATATAAAAACCAAGTATCAGGGAAACCAAGAAATGATACACATAAGGAAGACTTAATGAGACACAAGTCTGGCTCAGGAAATTCAGAGTGAACTATTTGAGCATCTACTGGTATCAGGTAAACTGACAGGCATTCCTGTGTATAGCCAAATCTTCGTTAACAATTCACTAATAATTATTATGAAATTCCAGTTTGAAATAATTTACTATCAGTCAACTATGGATCTTTCTCCTACCTGTAGCCATTTACTTCATTTTCCAAATACCATTAAACTCCTATATTCACTCACTCTTCCTAAAGAAGTTGTCTTTGTTTCTCTAAGGACAATCCTCCATATGATATAGGTTCCATCTCTTCCTATCTCTTGAATGTGATTCTTTATTTCCTATTTTCTTCTAATTTGTCTTCTTCCCCTCTTTCTGGAAACAGATTTCAACCTCTACTCAAAAGACATGGACATGCCTTTTGACCCTGATTTCCCTTCACATTCTCTTCAAGGCCCTATCAGTAAGCAAAACAAGAATAACTACTATTTAATACCTACTGTGTTAGACCACTTACCTCTGTGTTTAATTTTTACAAGCTTAAAAGAGCACTGAACCAGTTTTACAGATGAGGAAACTGACATTTAAGAGCAGCCTGGAGGCTGAAGGCATGCTCAAGCAGTAGAGCACATGCTTTCCAAGCATGAAGCCCTCAGTTCAAACCCCAACCCCACCAAAAAAAACAAAAAAAAAAGAGCAACCTGGCCTGCAGGAGGACACAAAGCTACTCAAGTAACGAGTGGAATTCATTCAACCAAGCCTGGCTCCAAACCCATGCTGCTTTTAATCACAAAAATGCTTTTATGAACCAACAGCATTAGCTCCACTTTATAAATGAATATATAGGCAAGGGAGGTTAGCACAGAGCAGAGCACAGACCATGGTGTAGCAAAAAATGCAGATTTGTCTGACCCCTAAACCTAAACATTGTCCCATTTTGTTTCACTGTGGTGTCTACATTCCAAACTACCTAATCATTCTAGTAAAGGTGACCAATGACTTGCCAAATCATACTTAACTTTTCAGTGGTTTGACACTGACTAACCTCCTTACTCTTAAAACAAGTTTCCAGATACTTAGGAGGTGGAGATTGGGAGGATGGTGGTTTAAGACCAGCCCAGGCAAAAAAGTTATGGGGACTCCCATCTCAATCAGTAACCCTGGTGTGACCTGTGATTCCAGCTCCTTGGGAGGCCACAGACAGGAGTATCGCAGCCTGAGACCCTATCTGAAAAATAACTAAAACAAGGGCTGGGGGGCATGGCTGAAGTGGTAAGAGTGCCTGACTAGCAAGTACAATCTGAGTTTCAACCCCACTACTGCCAAAGGAAAAACAAAATTAGTTCCCTAACACATTTTGTTTCTATTAACTTCCAAGCCCTTTGAACATCTTCTATTTGATACTTAAAATCTAGGTGTTATACTTCTTACTGCCATTCCTAAACTCACACTTTGTACAAAATGATTCTTTTTCCTTCTCAGACTTTGCTCTGCCCTCCCCTCCACTCCCCACACCAGTAACATTCAATTCCTTTTCTGAGTCTTAGATGTCCTTGATCAAATAACAGCTGGGCCCTGGTAACAGAGTAGCAATACACCCACTGAGTTGGTTTTATCAGAACTTTTAAAATGATTCCGTTCAAGGTAATTTTTATCATGAAAACTTTTTAGAGACAGGCTTTACAAATAAATCATCGGTAGGAAGAGATTCTTTTAGCTTTTTATTGGCAATCATCCTTGCTTAAGCAAAGTCCAGTTACTAAGCAGAGAATCCATTACTAAATTAGGAGACTCATTTAAAGTAGACCATTCACTGTTTATAATGAAAGGGGGGCTTTTTGAGCAGTTATCCAAAATAAAAATGCAGATATTGTAAGAGATAATTTAGTAGTGGAAAAGTTGCTACTTATTCTTTGCTGGAGATTTGTTAACAAAGCAGAGGTTATAATTTTTTTTAGTTGAAATGGAAATTTTAGCACAATAGTGGTAACCTGGAGAAAGTATTTTGTTTAAACTACTGAAACAAATTCAGGCAGAAAATTAAGGCAGGGCCTATGATTCTAATCTTAACAAGGGCAAAGACTAGTCCTCCAACTCTTATCCTTTATGACTAGCCTTACCAAGTTAAAGGATCTAGCTCTCCCATCCTACAGAGTATAATCAATGACCTGCTATCCAAAAACATTCAGTGATTGTTTATTGAATGAGGTAATAGTTTTCTCCAAAGGTAAGTCTTGATAATTAGTAGCATAAAACTTGAAACTGTTAGAGTAATTATCAATTGCTCATCTTCACAGGGTAATTGTCACTCTTCAACAAAATTTTCCACCAGTGTTTCAAATCTTTTTAAACTCATGAATCTTTGAGAGTCAGTTTTTTGAAGCCGAAAGAGAATAAAACTCTTCTACACCCTGATTAACTCTACAAAGTCCTGCATTTCTTCAGATAGCAGAAGTTATTTTTAGGATTGAAACAATGACCTCACTTCCTCAGTCATGTAGCTTCAGCTGTTTTGATTGTGGGCAGGTCAGGAATGTCTAAAATTCGTATATGGACTCATGATGAACTTCTGTGTATTTCAATAGAGGTTGCTATAT